CAAAATAGACTTTAAATAAAGACTATTACAAGAGACAAAGAAGGACACTACATCATGATCAAGGGATCACTCCAAGAGGAAGATATAACAATTGTAAATATTTATGCACCCAACATAGGAGTACCTCAATACATAAAGCAAATGCTAACAGCCACAAAAGGGGAAATCGACAGTAATACAATCATAGTAGGGGACTTTAACACCCCACTTTCACCAATGGACAGATCATCCATAATGAAAATAAATAAGGAAACACAAGCTTTAAATGACACATTAAACATGATGAACTTAATTGATATTTATAGGACATTCCATCCAAAAACAACAGAATACACTTTCTTCTCAAGTACTCATGGAACATTCTATGGATAGATCACACCTCAGATCACAAATCAAGCCTTGGTAAATTTAAGAAGATTGAAATCGTATCCAGTATCTCTTCCGACCATACCGCTATGAGACTAGATATCAATTACAGAAAAAAAAACTCTAAAAAATACAATCACATGGAGGCTAAACAATACATTACTAAATAACCAAGAGATCACAGAAGAAATCAAAGAGGAAATCAAAAAATACCTAGAAACAAATGACAATGAAAACACTATGACCCAAAACCTATGGGATGAAGCAAAAGCAGTTCTAAGAGGGAAGTTTATAGCAATACAATCCTACCTGAGGGAACAAGAAAAATCTCAAATAAATAACCTGCGCTTACACCTAAAGCAATTAGAGAAAGAAGAACAAAAACAACCCAAAGTTAGTATAAGCAAATAAATCATAAACATCAGATCAGAAATGAAGGAAAAATAAATGAAGGAAATGATTGCAAAGATCAATAAAACTAAAAGCTGGTTCTTTAAGAAGATAAACAAAATTGATAAACCATTAGCCAGACTTATCAAGAAAAAAAGGGAAAAGACTCAAACCAATAGAAATGAAAAAGGAGAAGTAACAACTGACACTGCAGAAATACAAGGATCATGAGGGATTACTACAAGCAACTGTATGCCAATACAATGGACAACCTGGAATAAATGGAAAAATTCTTAGAAAATCACAACCCTCCGAGACTGAACCAGGAAGAAATAGAAAACATAAACAGACCAGTCACAAGCATTGAAATTGAAACTGTGATTAAAATCTTCCAGCAAACAATAGCCTAGGACCAGATGGCTTCACAGGCGAATTCTATCAAACATTTAGAGAAGAGCTAACACCTATCCTTCTCAAATGCTTCCAAAATATAGCAGAGGGAGGAACACTCCCAAACTCATTCTATGAGGCCACCATCACCCTGATACCAAAACCAGACAAAGATGTCACAAAAAAAGAAAACTACAGGCCAGTAACACAGATGAACATAGATGCAAAAATCCTCAACAAAATACTAGCAAACAGAATCCAACAGCACAATCCTACACCATGGTCAAATGGGGTTTATCCCAGGAATGCAAGGATTCTTCAATATACGCAAATCAATCAATGTGATACATCATATTAACAAACTGAAGGAGAAAAACCATATGATCGTCTCAATAGATGCAGAGAAAGCTTTTGACAAAATTCAACACCCATTTATGATAAAAACCCTCCAGAAAGTAGGCATAGAGGGAACTTAGCTCAACATAATAAAGGCCATATATGACAAACCCACAGCCAACATCATCCTCAATGGTGAAAAACTGAAAGCATTTCCACTAAGATCAGGAAAAAGACAAGGTTGCCCAATCTCACCACTCTTATTCAGCATAGTTTTGGAAGTTTTAGCCACAGCAATCAGAGAAGAAAAGGAAATAAAAGGAATCTAAATCAGAAAGAAGAAGTAAATCTGTCCCTGTTTGCAGATGACATGATACTATACATACAGAATCCTAAAGATGCTACCAGAAAACTACTAGAGCTAATCAATGAATTTGGTTAAGTAGCAGGATACAAAATTAATGCACAGAAATCTCTTGCATTCCTATACACTAATGATGAAAAATCTGAAAGAGAAATTAAGGAAATACTCCCACTTACCATTGCAACAAAAAGAATAAAATACCTAGGAATAAACCTACCTACAGTGACAAAAACCTGTATGCAGAAAACTATAAGACACTGATGAGAGAAATTAAAGATGTACAAACAGATGGAGAGATATACCATGTTCTTGGATTGGAAGAATCAACATTGTGAAAATGACTATACTACCCAAAGCAATCTACAGATTCAGTGCAATCCTTATCAAACTACCAATGGCATTTTTCATAGAACTAGAACAAAAAAATTCACAATTTGTATGGAAACACAAAAGACCCTGAATAGCCAGAGCAATCTTGAGAAAGAATAATGGAGCTGGAAGAATAAGACTTCTGGACTTCAGACTATACTACAAAGCTACAGTAATCAAGACAGTATGGTACTGGCACAAAAACAGAAATATAGATCAATGGAACAGGATAGAAAGCCTAGAGATAAACCCATGCACATATGGTCACCTAATCTTTGATAAAGGAGGCAAGAATATACAATGGAGAAAAGACAGCCTCTTCAATAAGTGGTGCTGGGAAAACTGGACAGCTACATGGGAAAGAATGAAATTAGAATACTCCCTAACACCATACACAAAAATAAACTCAAAATGGATTAAAGACCTAAATGAAAGGCTAGACACTACAAAACTCTTAGAGGAAAACATAGGCAGAACACTCTATGACATAAATCATAGCAAGATCCTTTTTGACCCACCTCCTAGAGAAAGGGAAATAAAAATAAACAACTCAGACCTAATGAAACTTAAAAGCTTTTGCACAGCAAAGGAAACCATAAACAAGACGGAAAGACAACCCTCAGATTGGGAGAAAATATTTGCAAATGAAGCAATGGACAAAGGATTAATCTCCAAAATATACAAGCAGCTCAATATCAAAAAGACAAACAACCCAATCCAAAAATGGGCAGAAGACCTAAACAGACATTTCTCCAAAGAAGATATACAGATTGCCAACAAACACATGAGAGGATGCTCAACATCACTAATCATTAGAGTAATGCAAATCAAAACTATAATGAAGTATCACCTCACACCAGTCAGAATGGCCATCATCAAAAAGTCTGCAAACAATACATGCTAGAGAGGGTGTGGAGAAAGGGAACACTCTTGCACTGTTTGTGGTAATGTAAATTGATACAGCCACTATGGAGAACAGTATTGAGGTTCCTTAAGAAACTAAAACTAGAACTACCATACGACCCAGCATTCCCACTACTGGGCGTATACCTTGAGAAAACCATAATTCAAAAAGAGTCATGTTCCACAATGTTCTTTGCAGCTCTATTTACAAAAGCCAGGACATGGAAGCAACCTAAGTGTCCATCAACAGATGAATGGATAAAGAAGATGTGGCACATATATACAATGCAATATTACTCAGCCATAAAAAGAAACGCGATTGAGATATTTGTAGTGAGGTGGATGGACCTAGGGTCTATCATACAGAGTGAAGTAAGTCAGAAAGAGAAAAACAGATACTGTATGCTAACACATATATATGGAATCTTAAAAAAAAAAATTATGAAGGACCTAGAGGTAGGACAGGAATAAAGGCTTAGTCATAGAGAATGGACTTGAGGACATGGGAGAAGGGGAAGCTGGGACGAAGTAAGAGAGTGGCATGCACATATACATGCTACCAAATGTCAAATAGCTAGCTAGTGGGAAGCAGCCGCACAGCATAGGGAGATCAGCTTGTGCTTTGTGACCACCTGGCGGGGTGGGATAGGAAGGATGGGAGGGAGTCGCAAGAGGGAGGGGATATGGGGATATATGTGTACATGTAGCTGATTCACTTTGTTATATAGCAGAAACTAACACACCATTGTAAAGCAATTATACTCCAATAAAGATGTTAAAATAGTATATATATATTTTATATATATATATATATATATATAGTCTGGAAGCAAAAAATCTTTATTCTTAGAAAATCTATGTGTTTTTCTTAAGTAGATGCTTATACATGGTGACATTATAATTAGCATGAACATGGTTAAGAAGGAGTTTTAATACTATTTCTTACTGGAAAGAAAATAGTTCAGAATTCGAACTTTATTTCCTGTATTTTTAGAAATGGTAACACTTAATGTGTTGAAAATTTTAAGTACTTTATATTCTCAGTTAAGGGATTTTTGTATTTATCATTTTTCTTTAGAAATACTTTTTTTAGTGAGCAAGAAAATACCAATGTAATACTTAGCTATAGGAATGATAATTTTAGGAGTTAACACATTTCAGCAATTTTTGTCAAGATGATATATCAAAACTGTATTCTCTCTGATATTAGTTTTTTATTTAAATTAAAAATGCTTATGCAAGCAAATCCATTTAGGAAACATTGACTTATGCAAAGTTACCTAAGAGCAGGATTTTCATCGCCTTTAATAAGCTTAAATGCTTTATAACTCACCAAGAAGGGATATGCAAAATTTCCCAAACATTTGATTTTAGATCCTTCTTTGCTGGAGAATCTCCTGGGGTGGTGATTTGTCTAATGCATTTTAGGACATGTCACTTTAGAATGTGCTTTATACAATTACAACCTTTAGAAGTTAATCATGATATTTCAAATATAATAATTTGTATATAACTGCAAAAATATCTTCCAACTTGCTGTGTACTTACAAAAAAAAATAAAGTCTTCAGAAATATTCCAAGTAGTTGTGCTATATATTGATTTTGCTTGTTGAAGACCTCATTCTTCTATGTGTCATTGAGAATAACATGAGAACATTTCAAATTTTATTCTATCTGATATTTAAATCTACACCTATAAAAATTTAATTTTGTTCTGTCTTATTTGGCTAGCAAAATGGTAGGTTCAAATATCCCTCATGTTTCTGTATATGTAATAATGCGTCTGTTTTTATATTGCCTTCCTTGTTTAAACCAGGTGCCTATTCTTTAAAAACTGTATAAATAGTAGTATTCCTTCTTTTCATTCAGATATTTTTTTCAGGGCCTTTGTTTTTGACAAAGCAAGAAAGCGATGCCTCTGGTTCCCTTTCAATAGCATGTCAAGTGGAGTGAAAAAGGAGTTTGGCCATGAATTTGACCTCTATGAAAACAAAGGTAACTTCCTTCTCCCTAAATATTTCGTAATGAAACCAGTATAAAATATATGTAATTGCCTGCCACAGTGCACTTTCTAACTGATTTTTTCATTATATCATGGATCTATTATGCAGTCAATTCATCTATTAAGACAGATGACACTACTGCCTTGACTATTTTCAGTATGGTACTTTAAAGAGAGCTTTTCCCAAATTTTCCATAGTTAGATTATCCCTCCCCTCTTTGTTTATTTCTAGTAACATCTCCCGGAACTGATATTCTCCACAGTCGTTTTAGAAAGTGCCACCTTAAGTTATTAGTTTAAGACATTTTATATAACAGCAAATTTTGAGTTTACTAAAGTATTCTAAATTTTAATAACTTTGGATAATTAATCTAAGTTATAGTGATGATTGCTGATAACAACAAAACGTGGAGGTTTTGAAAAATTAGTTGGATCTATTCCTAGTTACATACTTTTAAAAAATCTTTGAAAGAATTGAGACCATATTATTAATTTGTCTACTTCGGTAGTTTGATATTATATTCACAAGGTGTTTAGTTTGTTCAACAGTGGATTTATAATAATAAAATAATTGAAGAATGTTTACTAAATGTGTATTTTACAGAATAAATCTCTCATTACACAAAATAATAATCATGAATTATGTTTATGATAATACTATTTATTTCAATTTTAATGTTTTCTTAAATCATACTGGGTTTTTTATTAAACTTAGGTATTTAGTAATATACACAGACATTTCTTTGTTAATAGGGAAAATGTTTAAATGAAATTAAAATTAATTCATGTTAGAAAATAAGATGATCTCTATACACCCCAATAATTCTGTAAATCCTAAACATAATTCATAATCTAGTATAAAACCATCTTTAATCTTCTAGGTTGCTAACAACTGTATATACTATTATTGGATAGAAATATACAGCTTGTTTCAATTTGATTGTCCTATAATTTAGCAGCTGATCTGTTAGCAAAAATATGAAAATAATAATCAGCATAATGTAATTATCACATACACACACATACACAAAAACCCACACAATTTTACTGATATAAAGACAAATCAGTTATTTCCATTATCTTAAAGTAACTTTTTGAAGTCAATATAGGTTTACAAATTTTTGTTTTTAATATGTTCTTAAAATGGTCTGTGAATTTGAGCAAATCATTATGCTAAATTAAATTTGCCTGTCCAGTTGAGTATATAGAATAATCTACATTAAGTAGGTAGACTAATCTCTACAGTTATCCAGGTATATACTCACAAAATTAAAACTCCTCAATGGTCTTTTTTGTTTTGGATTACTCTGAAATGTATTATTTTGAAAATATTAGTAGAACTTTTAGGCAAGAAATTTCAATATGATTTGTGATGGTTTATAAGCATTACTTAAAGATTTGCATGGAATTTTATCATTTTTATTTTTAATATACACAGCAGATATGTTACACATAGTGATAGCATTTTTCTCTGCTTTCTTCTGATAGACTACATTAGAAACTGCATCATCGGTAAAGGAGGTAGCTATAAGGGAACAGTATCTATCACTAAAAGTGGCATCAAATGCCAGCCCTGGAATTCCATGATACCACACGAACACAGGTAAGAATAGCATGAAGAAAAGAGGATAGAGCCTCTCTTTTATAGGTTTGTTACCAATCCCAGGTTAGTGCTTCAGAATAATCCTACACTTCTATAATAATTTAGCCAACTCTGCAGAAGTGTATTAGGCCAAAGCTTATCTGAATTTGTAACTGCTATTTAGCCAAAGAATAAAAAAATTATCATTAAGATGTAGCCTAACATTTTTTCACCTCAAAACCTCAATTTATAGATCTTGGTGTTTGGGAAGAAATAATAAAAAAATAATTAAAAAAAATTTTCCCCTCTCTTTGCCTGCGAAGAGGCACAGCACTCTGCAGCTGGAGTGGAGAGGTTGCCTGTGATAAGTTGGAGATGGAACAGATTCTGATCTTACATAACCAGGGCCCAAATGTTCTTTAACCATGGTGGTTCTCAAACTTGACTGCACATTAAAATCACCTGCTACAAGCCCTTAACAAATCCTACCACCCGGTCGTCAACACAGACCAATTAAATCAGAATCACTTGGCACCAGTATTGTTTTAAAAGTTCCCCAGGTGATTCTAAATCACAGTCAAAATTGAGAACCTCTGCTAAAAATTCATGCCTCAGATTGACCAACTTTCCCATTTCACCTAGTGCCTAATGACTAGAGAAAACTTCTTATTCCTTGGAAATTAAATGTCTATAGTGAAGAGAAGAATTGTGTTCATTATAACAGATGAATGCTATTTAAAGATGAGTAAACATAATATCCATAGGCTCATTAGTCTGAGAATTTTAATCATCATGGAGGAGAAATATAGATATCTACTCACTAGAGAGCCATATATAGCCAGAGTTTTTCAAGATTTATTTCACAAAGAATTTTAACAGGAACTAAAGTAGTTTAAAACAGCTCTCCCTGGTTATTAGATGAATTGGAAGACTTAGTTTACCATGTGCCAAGTAGCTTGTTGAGCAGTATACCTGGTTTATCTCGTTTAGTCCTCTCAAGAACCACAAAGTAGGTGATTTTATTAGTTCTATTTTTTATATGGTGAAACTGAAGAGCAAAGATCCTTAGTAACTTTTCAAGGTCATGCACGACTAGCAAGTGGTATGGCCAGAATCTGAGGCCAGCCAGTGTCACTCTGTATCCTATGTTTTAACAACCCCAGGGCCTTAAACACCCAGCAAATCAGTAGGATACATGCTGTGACCTGTTTTTGCAATAGAGGTAGTAACTTGCTTGATGAATCCACTTTTTATTCCATTTCATTCATTTGGTGGGGGGCAAAACTATGCAAGATGATTTTACTTCAGTAAACAGAAACGGAGTTCACTGGCTCACATAAAAAGAAAAAGAGTTGGTTGCTCTACACTGGAATCAAACCTGTGATTTTGGCCTTGTTAACAACAGCTAGTAAGTGTCCAAGCAGATCAGCTTTACGGTGTTTCAATAACAGAAAACAACTAATTTTTCCAAATTCATTACTTATGAATTACATGAGTACCTCCAAAACGTAGTTTTATCTTTACATTACAAAACAAACAATGTAATTGGTTTTGTCCTCTCATAAGGATTTGCATGGTGTCACTTCCTGCATAGTGAGGAAAACATTTTGCTTAAATAGATGGATCTAAGTTTTTCATGAACAAAGGAATGGCGTTTGAAATCAATCCTACCCTAGTTGAGGAGAGTGCACTGGATGACCTACTAGAGGTCTTATTTCAACCCAAATTCTCTATGATTGTCATTCTCTGCTACAGGAGTACATGTGAAATAGATCTCCCTGGGAACTGGCTTCCCAGTCCAATCAGCTATTTTACCAACAAACATTTCCTTGTGATATAAAGCTTTAGGGCTGAGAGGACCTTGTACATTAATCAATTTTTTTTTATTCAATGGGAGAAACACATTTTCATCAATTAGCAACTTATTGGAATATCTACATGCTAGATTAATACTTTTAAGTGTTAACTAAAGATTAACTCTATGGAAAATTGAAAGAGAAATATGTATCTATATACATCTGTCTAGAGGAGTGATTTATTGTCAACTCCCTAAATTGAAATATTTTACAAATGGCTTAATGGGAAGATGATGATAGATGATGAAATTAGTACAGAAGCTTAACTAGAAAATCAGGTGACCTGATATCTACATCTATATCCTTCACTGGCCACCCAGCATTCATTAAAGAAGCAGATGATGGAATGGATCAAGTTTCCTATGAACACAGTTCATATTAAAAGAAAAGAAAAGGTGGCCAGCACCCAGAAGATCTAATTTATGTTTCAAAGTATATTTGGATATAACTCAATTTTAAATATTCCTTCACTTATCTCTCTAAAAATAAAGCCTTGCTCACAAGGACAGAGAACCAAAAATAGTATATATGTGAGTAAAAGTTTATTACAGAGCCTATTGACTGGCACAAGGTGTGTGTGTGTGTGTAATAGGTTCTCATAAACGTGTTGAATGAACACATAGAGTGCAAAGATCAGGGCTAGGCTTCATCGCTTGGTCAAGTATGGGATACTAAAGAAAAGCAGACTGAAAACTTCAGAATACAAAAGAAAACCAGTTAATCGGGGTAAAAAGTCATATACACCAAAGACTGAAGAGAAGAGATGACCCAGACTGCTCTTTACCCTGCATGTCCTAAAGAGGAATGTGATATGCATTGATATAGAATTGTGGAAAGCAGCACACATTTTTCTCTTCATTTTTCATTTTTATTAACTCCAGTGGGAAAACTTTATTCATCTTTTAACCATAGCTAGTTTTGATTTCTACTTTATCTCTTTCCCTTCCTACCTGCATTTTTCCTACTAAACTGTTGACTTATTCATTCACTACTTCATTTTTTTAAAATTAATTAATTATTGTCTGTGTTGGGTCTTTGTTGCTGTGCGTGGGCTTTCACTAGTTGTGACGACGGGGGGCTACTCTTCATTGCGGCACACGGGCTTCTCATAGTAGTGTCTTCTCTTGTTGTGGAGCACGGGCTTTAGGTGTGCAGGCTCAGTAGTTGTGGCTCACGGGTTTAGTTGCTCCACAGCATGTGGGGATCTTTCTGGACTGGGGCTCGAACCTATGTACCCTGCATTGGCAGGTGGATCCTTAACCACTGCGCCACCAGGGAAGTCCCATTCGCTACTTCTTCACAGCTTCTTCTTTGCTTTACAAATCCCCTGGAAAGGTGTGTGTGTGTGTGTGTGTGTGTGTGTGTGTGTGTGTGTGTGTGTGTGTGTGTGTGTGTGTGTGTGTGTGTGTGTGTGTGTAACAAAATCTCTAAAACTGTAGATATTTTATATGTGTGCATTTAACATGTGTTAAATCATTATTTAGTTTTTTAAACTTAATACATAAAATGATATAAAATGAAGGAGCTTATAATAATCTAATTCATTCCATTCATCTCATAAGTGAAGTTGAAAACCCGAAGAGTAAGTAAATTATCTAAGGGCTAGTGTCATATACTAGTCGAGTGATACATATGGGGCAACAATGTAGATTTTTGTGATCAACAATAACTTATTTTCAGTACTATACCAAGCTTTTTCAGAAAATAGAGTTATAGGGGGATTTTCTTAGGTAAATTTGATTAATGCGGTACTTTATGAAAAAAATATAAAGTAAAAGTCAGTTCTCATTCTATCAGAAAAATGAGTATTTCATTATAAATTTACTATGAAAAATTGAAGAACTGGCAAAGTGAAAGGAAATAATTTTCACACAATGGCACAAAGATTATCTTAAATTATTCTGGAATAATGGGGCTAAAACTAAGACAAAAGATATTTGTCCTTTGAAAATTACTGTTAGGAATTGTAAAGTCATGATAAGTTTTCATTATATTATAATTTTTGTCAGTCATAAGATGTAATGTCTAATATTTGTTCCCCAATATTTAAAATGCTAGTGAAGTAGGGATATAAACTCTTTATGTAAAGACATTTTGGCATTTCATGTTTATAATACTTAATAGATATCTTGAAAATGTTTGGTTAGTAGTAAGTCTCTTGGACTCTATTTTTGACCAATAATTTACATTTTCTGAGCACTTAACTCTGGTGTATTTCCTGTCCAAATTAAATAATTTCATTGCAAAATGTTGCTTGGTACCCAAGGCATGTCCATATTTATTTTATGCCACAGCATAACAAAAATGATTATTTCTTAACTAGAGATTTCAATGGGTAGGAAACATATTTGAATGGTATTTACTGAGAGACTAAGATCTTTGGACTTCACTGTAATTTAAGTACCATTTAGATCTCAGAGGTCAGTAAAAGTAGAAATTAAGCTTTATAGCAAAAATTGAACTGAATATTGAAAATGTAACTGGATTTTCAAAAAGAAGTGCTTACTAATGTTACCTATAGATATATATTGTTTACTTATGCTTTTTTTGTGTGCAGTCTAGCAGACACTTGCAGCATCATTGAGGCCAAGGTCACAAGCAATACAAAAGAATAAAAAGGGCTTTGAACTCTTCTGCTCTTATGTTGAAGTACTGTGTGCTGGTAACAAAATTATAACCAGGGCATTAGACATTTTAAATGAAGGTAATATACTGCAGTCTGCATGCAATGGCCAACTATTATGAACTAAACCTGAAAGCACCAAGCCCCAGTCACAGGGAAAACTTTTAAAATTTTTAACGAGAATAAGCATTTCTGTTTTTTACTATGACAGTCTGAAGACTACTAAGTGGAGTGTGCTTAATAACAGATGGAGTTTATTAAGTGTCAATTACTCTCTCATCTCTTTGAACTTCTCAAAACAACCACATAGGTGTAAGATGTTATAAGTTATGGTTATACTCAGTGTATAGGTAAGCTAGTAGGCTGAAAGAGGCTAAATTGCCCGCTGGGGTTTCCAGTTAGTAAGACAGAGCTGAAATTTGAGTCCAGATTCAATTTGTTTCTAGACCCTTTGTTCCTGTTACTTTATCAATCTATTTCTCAATTGTGCAGAAAAATGGGGGGCTATCATTCATAAGAAAAGCAATAAACAAACAAATAATTATCTCAGATAAGCAGTGTAATAGTGAGATTTCAAGGTCTAGGGCAGTGTTTCTGCAGTCCTCTCCTAAGTGGCTTTCCTCAATCATTTGCTGCCTTTGAGTGGAACTTTGAAATTGTGGCTCAAACAATGTCAATTAGGCTCCAGAATGATTGGCTCTTAGTGAATCCAGAGATGAATCATTCTTAAGGCTGCTGAATACGAGAATTCAGTTAGGTAAATGTCTATAAAATTTAAGTATCTTAAGCATAGATGGAAATGACAGAATTCAAGTTAATATCTATGGAGGTCTGAGATAGAATAAAGGATTTCTCCACTTTTGGGAAAACATACCCACTAGTTAGTAAAATTAATAGCCCCCCCCAAAAGTTGCATGCTCTTATACTGTAATGATTATCATTTTAAAACTAGCTTTTTGCCTTCGAGCTATCGGGGTAAAGACCTACAGGAAAACTACTGTCGAAATCCTCGAGGGGAAGAAGGGGGACCTTGGTGTTTCACAAGCAATCCAGAGGTACGCTACGAAGTCTGTGACATTCCTCAGTGTTCAGAAGGTAAATGAACCTGAATGCCATGTGGGGCACTCTGCTCTCCCTTTGTGTAAAACTGCAACTCACATTAAAGGTTAACAGAATTGAATCAAATCACAATGAATATGATGTTCATTCAATTGCAACTATAGATCATAATTTGAGCATTTTTATAGGATGTTTTAAAAACTGATTATCATCAGATTAATGCAAAATAATGGAGCAAGTTATCAGTTTGAATTTCAAAAGAGCCTGAGGTATCTCTTTGGGGAGAGTAAAAGTTTGGGCTTCCTCATCTGCTGTTTTGAGCTCATAATAGCTCAAAATCTGCTCCCATACATCGCCTGAAAGGAGCAGAATGACACTTAGCCCTTTATGAGTAATGCTAATTCTACTCATCCAGAACCCACTTCTGCAGAAGTTTTGTCAAAGCTATTTTGAAGTGGTGTGGCAAGGGTATACGGACCCAGAAGAGAATAAAGGAAGGGGGTCACTGAAAGTCCGAGTGCCCTGTGTGTGTTTTGGTGAACCAAATTTGATACATAGTCTGGAACTGAATACCATTCAGAATGGTATCTGAAGAGATCAAAACAGTAGATCACAGGATGTATGGAAGGCAGGCACTCTAAACCCATGTCTGTGTCTTCACCTCCTCTCACAGCATGAAAGGGCACTGTCCTTACTTTTACAGTGGAAACTGAATGACGGGCAAGAAGGAAGAGTAACCATTTCAGCATTGTATATGGTTTCATTTTTCTTGGTTATCTGGCTACTGAATAGCTGGCTTTTTAGTTCTGTCAGAAACTAAAATACTGAAAATCAAAATGAAACATGGATTGAATTCTGATCAAAATTTAGTAGCATTTTGAAGTACCTGGGGTGGGGATTATGGCTGAAATGCTGTCCAATTTTTATAGTAAGGTATTTTACCTGTTTGTTATTAACCAGATATTTTTTGAACTATTTCTTCCATAATATTCATTAAGTATTAGGTTGATATTTATCACATAAAAAGGCCATTGTTAGCTAACTGTCACAGAGAAGGTGAATTTGTTTTCTGTTGTTAGTTAATTTAACATTCTTGAATTCATGTGCGAGAGCCAGTTCCATCTGTTTGTAAATTCTTACTTTCCATTCCATATCATATTCTGTTCACTATAACTTCTTCATTGTTTTTCTTTTCTTTTAAAAATAATAAACTGATCTGTGATAACGTTATGAATGTCTGTTTTGTATGAATAAGTCTGTAATGTTTGTCTTAAATTTACACATGGAAGAAAACCCTACTTTTAGGGAACTCTCTGCTATCATAGTTTTCTGAGGTTGCAAGTTATTGGCAAGGAGTTTTCTTTATTGGTTTTGTTTGATCTGGGACAGTGTTTACAAGGGAAGGTAAATTGGTCAAACTTTAAACAGTTTAGCATTTACCTTGCCTGCCTAGTCTGTGGGAATGTGATTTTTCAACCCTTGATTTAAAAGAAGAACCTTCATCAAACTATATTGGCATATATGTAAAATGACAGGCAATGTAGAATAAATGTGATAAAAAATAAATGCTTGGAAAAATTTCTGGTATTCCTTAGCTCATTAGAGTATATGTCCCTAATATTTTTTAATGATTTGAGGTCATCGCACCTCCCTTAGAAAAGGGCATTGATCATTAGTATGAATGGCACATGATGCTATTGGTCACGGTGGCATTAAAGGTTGCAGATATGCTTTTTCTGGAAACAACTAGAAGTCTGAAAGAGTAGAATAACCCTCCTGTGAGAGAAGTAAACCAACACCTGTCCTATAGGCTAAACATATTTCAGGGACTGTGAATTGAGCTGTCATATTTAAATTCATGCTAACATAAACAATGTTTTAGCAGGATTTTAATGAAGAGGATCTAAAATAAGAAGAAGCATTGTCAATACATTAATGAAGAAAAATAGCTATTTATAAAATGGGTAATACAAAATATACAAAATAATGTTGATATGATGTAAATTTCTATTAAAATACATATATGAGGAAAAAGCCTCAAAATCCACAATGCTTAAATAGTATGATGGGTGAGACATTTTAATCTATGGATATTGTAAATGTCAAGTTCCAAAGGTTATATTATTATGGATGAAATATTAATGATCACATCATTTTGTATATTTTAAAATTAAATAAGAAAAGTATGTGGTCAACTTTGGACTGTTCTTTGGAAAAGGACAAGTAGAACAGTATATATTTTTTGAAAATTTTTTAACTATATTAAAACATTTGCTAAATAATCACCTGAAATTTGTCTGCAATTTTGGTTCATAAAAATATATCTGGTATTTAAAGATTAAAATTATTTTCTTTTAATTTAAACCTTTGAAATATATAAAGCATTCCAAAATGAATACTCGTTTATCACATTTAGAACCTTACATAATTATGTAAAGAAAATATTACCCATTAATGTTTAATTCAAAGATTCTGGAAAACAGAGGTATATAAAATTTGACTTCTTGCTTTAACATTTGCTTGGGATTTAAAAGAAAGCAATCACTAATCACTGAAACAGATTTTTTAAATGATAAATATTCAAGTAAATGCATTTTATTAAGCCATAATCATTATTTTTAAATACCTTACACTTAAAATACCAAATAATACTGCCATAACTTTAAATGTGTAATTCCATACTCTGTGTGGCAAAAGACTTTTAAAAACAAAGATTTAAATAAAACTATTATTTATAAATGTGGATTTGTGAGACTATTCATATTTTAAACATTCAGTTTTGCTGAAGTAATCACTAGAGTGGATTTGTCTGAGAGATATTTTCAAAATAGCTGTTTTAGTCTGTAAACTCAGATCACTTGTGGTTTTATGATTGATAAAAATGGAACACAGTAATTTTTGAGTTTAGTTAGTATATGAGAAAGGTGTTAAATTAATCCTAGTTATATTACAATTAATGTGTAGTTTTGGGGGTTTTCTATTAACAATTAGAGCAGAACTATAATTAGAAAAAGGTATTCATTTACTTATGAATATAAACATTTATTTAGTTTGAGCTTTTGTGAACTGGGACAGTATTTTGCTTTTGTTTGTTTTTTTTTTAAGGGAAGAACTTGCTGGAATGGTTAAATAATACACTGGCAACAATAGAGAGAGTCAAAAGGAAATACAGCAGGAGGTGCAGTCCTCACCCTCTTGCACTCCTATATAGATAATGCTTTCACCTGAGTCCTTGGTAGGTAGGTGGACTTGGTTTCCACCTATACGGCTTGACTTTGAGCTGGGAAAACTTAAAAGAGTTTTAGAATTCTTGAAGTTTGAGAAGTAAATATGAGTTCAAAATTTGCCTTTCTCGAAGTAATTTTTATGACTAGCCTGATGGTTTGATGCGATGGAGAAACCACAAATTTTTCATCCTTGAATAAGATGGCCAGTCTCGTTTCTCCTAGCCCCCAATAGGTGAGAATCCAACAGGCGGGCAACCTACTGCTATAAACAGGAGCGAAGAGGGTAATGAGGACAATACTGAGCAAAGGCAGGGAGACTGACTTTCTAAAAGTTTTGCTTTCAACCTATCTTAAAGTATGACCAGTAAGAATGTGTAGGAAACAAGTTAAAATATGTAGAACAAAGAGACAATTAGGGAGAATGGAAAGAGCGCTGGACTGGGGGTCAGAGGACCTATGTTCCAGGCACAGATCTGGCATTTTCTGTTTTAGGTAAGTCCCTTAAAACTTTTGTGAGCCTTGTTTTCCTCACTGCAAGGGTCAAATGATTTCTTATATGTTAAAATTACTGAATAATCAAAGAATATGTAACTATAATATACTTAGCATCTCAGTCCTATCACAGGATTCACTTAATTCCCACCCCAACAGCAACTTTCATTGCCTTCGAAAATCTAACATTCTTTGGGTTAACTTTTATTATTTTTCAATCTCATTAGTTCTGCACCTGCATTCATAACTCTCTCTTCACTTCACTATAAACAGCATACTAATTTATGTTTCTGTACCGTTTATGTTATTTTGCCCCTTTGTAGTTTATCCACATCTTATCCATCCTTCAAGGTCTAAGTAAAATCCATTCTCTCCTAAAAGCCAAACACTAAGAACTTTCAGAATTGAATAAATTATCTACAAACTTGCTACTCAATGTGAGGTCCAAGGACCATCATCATCATCATCCTCTGGGAGCTTGTTATTAATGCCCCAGTCCTGACTCACTGAATCAGAACTTGCCCTTTATTTAACAAGATCTCAAAATAACTTTTATGCACATTAAAGTTTGGAGAAGCACTGATCTACCGCTCACGCTGGAAAGCAGTCACCTTATAGAATCACCTGTTTCATTTGTGTAGCTATGTTTCCTTAAGAAAATTAAAAATTCTAAAGTTTCAGGAGAAGTGTTTTTAAATAATGCCCCAACACAGTTTCCCAGAAAATACTTTTATTCACTCTAATTAGAAAAGGATATACTCTTATAAACTGCATTTTCTGACTGAGACAAAATAGGTGTATTTTGATTCCTGAGTACTATACAAGATTAGAAATTGTACGCGTGGATATTTTATCCCCTTATTTGTGATCACAGGATTCTATTCTACTCTTTCATTCAATACAAAGGAGCAAACAACAATGATCAATGTTGTATCGTTTTCTGTGAACATATCAAACCTTGCATTCTTTTTAAAATGGGAACTAAGTTTGTACCCCCATTCAGATGGAAAGCTGAAACGTGATACGACATAACCTATGTGGGATTGACCTTGGCCAACCAGAGCACCTTTATCGGTATGCTCTTGGATCCCTGTCATTTATATTTCAGGAGCTTACTGACTGTTGTCTGGGGGATCTCAGTATCAAATGAGAGGAAGCTGAATTGGTCCCTTGTCTTAGTTCATAGATCAACCTGCACGAAAAGAAGCAGATGGATCAGGCCAAATGGTTTCATGTTTTAGGGATTTAGTTATTAACGGCCTATTAGGTTATAAAAATCAAAGTTCAAAAGTGACGATTCTAATAATATATCCCGAACTTCTACAAATACTCATTAGGCTAGATCCCGGTGGATAAAACTAAACACTGATATCTTTTCCCACTTCAGCTAATGTTAGACAATCAGTAATCACAAGATACAAATGATGTGTTTGGGGAAGTTTGCCGGATCTGTAGGAAAGCCAAGCAATGATTTATTCCACAGGATGCCTGCCGTGCTACAAATCAACCTGTCCATTTGAGAAGCCTTATTTTCAGCTAGTTGATGTGATTCAGAGTTTTCAGTGTGGTATAAGAGGCCAGCCAGAAGAGAACTATTAATTAACTTCACAGAGTCATCAGCAATATCCAGCATAATTAGATCAACTTACACATTTTAAAACCAGTGAGTACAAGAAGTTCAATAGCAGGTCATGTTCTATCCTAAGCTAGATAAGTATGCAAATCTGCTCAGTTATTCGATGTGGATACTCACTGATAGAAAGGAACCGTGATTTCGTCCTGTAAAATATTCACATTCTCAGATCTGTCTGGTCCTGATCTTGGCATTAACTGTAGAAGTATGATGTGTACTCATTTTAAATTATGTATTTTCTGTGTATGTGTTGCAGGGTAAGTTGAGAGAAGAGCACTATCGTGTTGACAGTATAGATATTGAGACCCCTGGCATTTTAGAACAACAAAGGGAAAATCCCCAAGAATTTTCAGTTTCTAGGTACCTTTTGGACAGTTATGAAAAAATTAGAAAGGCAGCATCTTGGCCCTATGGTAAATCTGTATGACACTAACTACAAAAATCCCATTTAAACTGTATGAAAAGTTCAGTAGGGAGTATTTTATACCACTATGAATGGATATTAAGCCCTAATTTAAAGTTAAAAGGGTCTATAAGTTTTTCTAAAAATCTCCTTGCTAAATAGGTGATTTACTGTTCTTTAAACGGAACAGTGGTGTTCTTGATTTTGCTGTCAGAAGCAATTAACATGCCATGCTTTAATTTTATTAGTTGAATGCATGACCTGCAATGGGGAAAGTTATCGAGGTCCCATGGATCATACAGAATCAGGCAAGATTTGTCAGCGCTGGGATCATCAGACGCCACATCGGCATAAATTCTTGCCAGAAAGGTAAAATACCACCAAATCCTGCGTCCAGTGATTCTATTTACAAACTGTTATTTGCCCCATGGCAAGTTACCATGGAGATTCTCTTGATATAATGTTTTCCTGATAGTCTTGGGGCACAGGGATTTATGATGAGGTATGTGAGAGTGCTGGCTTCACCTCCAACTGGGCTTGGCTGACTAGGTTAAGACTCCCTGAAATCAGGATGGTCCTGAACCCAGAAGCATCAGTGGCTGGAGAAGGAAACCAGTAATAGAAGCTTCCTCTTTCCCTTCCACAGCAGCAAAAAGAGAAAAGCTCATTCAATAATAAGCACTTTGACAGGCCCAAGCTGGGGAGGGCGGCATTACTGTTAAATAAAAGTGAATGTGAATCTCCTTCTAATGCCACACCTTCCGTGACTTAGGTAAAGTGCGGTCAATGTGTGACACCGTGATGCAGGTCATGCCCATAGAGAGGGAATGAAAGGTGGAGCAAACAATTCTTTGGCTGCTTTCTTGTGGTGGATTTTGAAGTTGCCCATCTGGAAAAGTCAGGCAACCAAGTCTACTTTTCTCCTCAGGAGTAGGTTTTGAGTTTAAATGGTTTAAAAATTATGTGTATTTTGGCCCATTCATTTCACAGGAAACATTTTAGTTGAAAAAAATTTTTCCTTCTTTTTATTATAAAGAATAAAAATACAAATAACTACAGAAGAAGGTCTATCCCCACCTTTCTTCTGAAATTGCTGAAAGGTGTTTTTCTTCTTTCTCTTTTTGTCTTGCTCTTCTAGATGAAATTAAAACTGCTTTGTTTTTTAGTGCATGTCTTTTAAGTGAGAGCAGAAGGAATATGGTAGCAATTAAAAACAACTCACCAATTCAGGACCCTGTTAATTTAAAGGGAGGTGGGTATAGAGAAAGTGGTGTGATGGAGTGTGTCTCTAGCTCTGCTGGAGGTGAGGGCATGACCTAGGAAGACTCTAGCTCTAAAATTGAGCTATCATTAGTAACATAGCTATTGAAACCTAACTTTCAGTTTGAACTTTAAGTCTGCCCTAGAAGAGGACCTGTTTTCTTAATGAGCATTCTACACGAGGCCATGTTTATGTAATCTGTCCTTAATTGGGCTTTGTAAGAAGGGGATTCAGTTTGGGACCTCAACCAGTGGACCGGTACCAAGTGGACCTAACTTATTAGCAAAGGGGATGGTACTCTAGCCTTAGTAGAATATGCACAGTAATAGATTCAGCAGTTAATGATTAGCAGTCCTCATAAGGCAAAACATAGAAAATCTCTTCTTTCCTCAGCTAACAGTATCCGAGCTAAGTCAAAAGTTATTTTGTGAGCTGAGAGCTGGGTGGTGTTCCAGGCAGATTTACATGACACTTTTCTTGGTGTGGTTTGCAGATATCCCGACAAGGGCTTTGATGATAATTATTGCCGCAATCCTGATGGCAAGCCGAGGCCATGGTGCTATACTCTTGACCTTGACACCCCCTGGGAGTACTGTGCAATTAAAATGTGCGGTAAGTTAGGGTCAAATTTATTGCTTCCTTTTCCTCTCACAGACTGGATCTAAGCAGGCGATTATTAGTGAGACAGGTTAACAACTATTTTACTTGATACTTTAACGTGTATAGGTTTTAACATTTTTAGAATGTGTTACATAATCCTACCCAATCTTTTGCATTTTCAGAGAGCCATTATTTTGAAAGAGATACACACACAAGTGCACACGTACACACAAAACATTTATACTTATGGTAAAGACAAACATTCTCATGTTACCAAGAAAAAGGGAAAAAAAATCTACAGAGGGAAGAAAATGATCAGGGATTATGTGCAGTATCATAATGTCATTAGGGCCATAAGAGCTAGGACCTCGGATTCTTACCTTCCAATCCTGTATCCTTTCCCTACCTATCCTCCCAGACATAACATGAGCTGTCAACTGACTATGCACATCTTCTGGTGAATGACAGAGGCTGCAATGTAGAAAACTAAGTCTAACAGAAGCTTCTCACAGACATCTTTAATCTCTAGTAGCTGATCCTCACCTCTCTGGCTGTCCTTATACACAGCCTGCATTCTCTTTCAACCTGTTTTTTTTTTTTTGAGGTACACGGGCCTCTCACTGCTGTGGCCTCTCCCATTGCGGAGCACAGGCTCCGGACGCGCAGGCTCAGCGGCCATGGCTCACGGGCCCAGCCGCTCCGCAGCATGTGGGATCTCCCCGGACCGGGGCACGAACCTGTGTCCCCTGCATCGGCAGGTGGACTCTCAACCACTGCGCCACCAGGGAAGCCCTCAACCTGTTTTTTAGCAGTCCTACTATCCTTCTACATACTGGCCTTTACCCAACTTTCCTGAGTTTATGATAAAAGCTTCTTTTCTTACTTGCTTTGTGATATCCCTTTAAATCTTGGTCCTCTCCTCCACAGTTAACTCACACACTTTTATTCTTCTCTGAAATAATCCTGGATAATAATTAGACATAAACATGCTTTTATTTCTATGTGTACAGTCTTATGTTTTCAACTGGATCCTAAAATGCTTTCAAATCAGAATTGCATAAATTTAGTAAGGTGGAATCATGTTATAAATTGGCTGGCTAATATAAAGATATGTATATCTAGAGAGAAAAATGTAAAGACATACAATCAGGTACCAGCACCCAGAATGATAAATGTACAATTATGAGGCTATGGATAGGGATTTGCATATTTCCCTAGATTGGCATGATGAGGCTCTTTCTTTGAACAGACTTATTCAGTATTATCTACACTATGATACTGCCAAGGTAAATATCTCTCCACTTAGACCTGCTAATAAAAGGAAATGTTTTGGACGACTCAAATAAAGCCCACAGAAAGGAGATGTGTCTGGCATATGTGAAATAACTGCAGAATCTGGAAGGCTCTCAATGTGAACACAGTGTTCCAAGGAAATTGAACCATCTGTTTGGTTCTTTAAAATAAGGGATGACTCTTGTGACAGTGTTTCTCTGTATAGATTGGTTAGTTCAACTCAATGAGTTTTTAAATCTTGTTAATCTGTCCATAATTCTAGACCAGCTAGGTACAATAAACCAATAGTTTCCCCTCCATTTTTCTTTTTGTGTGTGTTTTAGGCACTCAAAAATCGTCTCTGGAATAAGACCAGTATAAACAGACACACACACACGCACACACACACACACTCACATGCATATTCACTGGCATGTTCACCTTTCAACTGGCATGCATAAGACTGGCTATTTTTAAAAGACATTGGGAGAGGAAAAAAATAGAATGAATATGACACTTCTAACTATTAGATAAATTTCTTTTTCTTTTCTGTCCACATTTAGCTATTTATACAACTAACGTGCAACAATTCTGATGGCTTTTTTAAACAGAAGGAGATGTTTATAGGATGCTAATTCTGAGAAAATGGTGGCAGAATTTGTGACCCAAACCTATATACAGTATATAGTATATACAACCTATATAGTACATACAACCTACATAGTATTAATATATACAACCTATATACAGTATATAGTATCTACAACATGATGATTAGGGGGTGCTGAACCTCCTGGGTTCCTCTGTATCCGTGAGTTCATCCAACCTTGGGATCATGTAGTACTATAGCATTTACTATAGAAAAAAAACAGCGTATAAGTGGACCCATGCAGTTCAAACCCATGCTGTTAAAGGGTCAATTGTAGTTAAGATAAAAATATTTTGGAATATTTTTGGAATATTTTAAAAATGTTTTAAAATATTTTTGGAATATTTTAAAAATGTTTTATTACAGGACAGATTTTAGTTTCTAATTTATATAGAGAGACTATATTTTTATTAAAATTAATGAAATAAAGTGACATTCAGGAATTTTGGAAAGCATAAGAGAGAATGTCTTCCAGATATTTTGGCTTATACATATAGTAAAGGCTACAATGCAAAACTAAGGAATTTGGTGATGGTTTCAATTGTGTATTAATTTTCGATTGCTGCATAACAAATTATCAAAAACTTGGTAGCTTAAAATAACACATATTTCTTATCTCATGGTTTCTGTGGGTCAGGAGTCAAGGCATGAGTCAGGTGTGTCCTCTGCTTAGGATCTTACAAGGCCACAGTCCTGGTGCCCACCAGACCTATTGTCTCATCTAAGACTTGGTATCCCATTCCAATATTCTAATTCAGTTTCTTGTGGTTGTAGTGCTGAGATCCTCAACTCCTGGATACTGCCTGATGTTTCCTACCACATGACCCTCTCCACAATATGGCAGTTTAATTCTTCAAGGCCAACAGGATAGCTTTCTGTTACTTTCAACCTCTGACCTCTGCACCCTCTTCCATTTATTTATTAAGAATATTTTTCAAAGGTACTAAAATTTTATAAGCCAACTTTACCCAACATTCTGCACTGGGGATGAATGTCAAAAGGACTTGTTCAGAAATCATATCCTTTAGAACTTCCATATAATTTCTTTCCCCTTAACACAGAGTTGTGAAAGGTAAAAATAACAGTGTTTTGTTTTCCTGGGAAAATAGTATATCTTTATTTGGGAAAATGATTGAAAAATAACTGGTCAGTTTTTGCCTCCACACTGTGATTCAATGCAGAAGGCTCTGTACCTGCTTTTAAAGAGCTCACCTGATTAGGTCAGGCCCACCCAAGGAAGTCTTCCTTTAATTAATTTCAGGTCAACTGACTGGGAACTTTAACTACATCTACAAAGTCTCTTCACTTTTGTGGTACAACATAAGCTAATTACAGGAGTGGCTCTCCCATTATATTCACAAGTTCTACCCGCACTCAAGGGGAGGGGATTACAGAGTGTACATCAGTGGATAGGAATCTTAGGGGTGTATTAGAATTCTGTATACCACACACATATTTACATGCACTAGTTGTAAGAGAATATTGATTGTCACTTTTTATTTGTATCATTTGATTCTTCGGTGAGCTTTCTGGTTTTCTCTCAGTCCCAATTGCTTGAATTCATTCTGAGTTTTCAATATGTTTGAAGAAAAGAATAGAGTTTATGATTGTGTCACTTGTCTCCTCTAAAGCTGAAGGGGAATTTTAAAACTCTTTTTAAAAATTATATAATAACTGTATAAGAAGGTTATAATTGCTACCATTTATTTAACATCTACAGAAAGGTGCTTTCCATCTACTGTCAATAATCCTTATTTCAATTGTACAAAATGTGATTAGGTAGGCCAGTGAGAAAGGTGTGCAAAGACATGATGGGTGAAGCAGAACAGCAATATTCAAGACATGGTAATTAGGTTGATATGGGTAGGGATGGGGTAAAGACAGAGAAATGGAAGAAGATAAGAAAAATAAGATTGATGTGAGGCAGATGAAGTAGGATCCAAGAGTAGCCCATCCAGTTGCCATGAGAAACACTGAAAAATTAAGCAGGGAGAGTGGTCTTATCTGATTTGTCATCTAGAACAGTAGCTTCCAAATCGGTATCTATGAAACCCTGGGGAACACAAAGACTGTCCTAGGGGTTTATGGGCATGGATAGGTTAAAGGGCTGAAATTCCAGCTCCTAGTTTTCTATATGAATTCTTTTCCAAAGTCTTCTGCTTGAGATGCATGTGTTCCCAAGGAGTCAGTCAAGTTCAACTTCCTCCCTGCCCATTGACAACTGCCCTTTGCTACTTTATTGAAAAAAGCCAAACTGCTAATCCTTCCTGAATATTAATGTGGTGCACTGTCCTGGGGACACTAAACAAAGAGACCTTTGAAAATACTATATATTAATGCTGTTTATCATTTACGTTCTGCTAATAATTGTATAACTCTATCCATAACATGTATACATATATATTTGTGTGTTTGTGGCTGTATGTGTGTTTAGTATAGTGTGCATTTATCTCTTAGAATTTTGTGGTCACAAGAAATTTTTTAAAAATTTAAGTATATAAAAATCTTTCAGGAAAATATGATAGGTGAGGAATAAAAAATTCTCCAACATAAAATAAAATACATTACACTAAAATAACATTCTGTGGGTAAAGTGGAATGGAAAAATGATTCCAGGAGAAAAAGAACTTGATAATGTACATTTTATCCAGAAAAAGGTATAGGTATCAAATCACTGTGGTATTTAGAGTCCATTAAATCCATTTAGAAGAGTGATATAAAAATTTTCAATTTAAAACTATCGATAGTTAAAACATGCTAGAAACCACATCTTTTGCAGCTATTTAAACTTAGCACAAAAAAATGCAGATGTCAACTTTAAAAACAAGAGAGGGAATATAAATATTTTTTCAAAATTATTTTAGTAACAGGAGCAAAAACAAAAACAAATTAAAGAAACCAACAACATTTGAAGACTACTGGTCCAGAAGAATTACTATGTATTCTGGGTAATTAGCATGGAGGCTGGTGCATCTGATAAGAGTTGATTTTAACAGGCAAGTAAGAAAGAGAATGTGAACTAAGGCAGTAAGCAGTGACAAAACAATGTGGAGGAGGATGTGAGCAATATTAAAGAGTTAGAATGTCCCAT